TATTACCATTGGAAATTTGGAAGTAGTGGCATGCATTTAAATTTCTCAAAAGATGTAAGAAAGCAATCACTTTTTTGATATTAAAATGTAAATAAATTGCAAAATTCTAAAGTTCTTTTCTTTGCATATACTCAAACAAACAAAGTTAATTATTATTATTATTATTATTATTATTATTATTATTATTATTATTAAAATTGGGGAGTTAGTTAAATAAATAATAAATTGCTCTTCAACGACAATGCTAGATTTTGTGGGCCCATCCATAGATCTTACTGAGTTTTTTTGACTTCCAAGTTCCGAATCCCTTCGCTTTTCCTTCCAACACTTAAAAATGGCAAAATTCAATTATTTTAATAACTTAAACATCCAAAATCATAAATGTTGGCTGAGTTATTTTTTTCAAATAAAATCTAAGCTTTAAACTTCCAATTATCAAACTAGTTACCCTTGGAAATATCATCTGATATAATAGCAACAAATACATTTAATCCTCGATAATTCTACTTGTTGGATGATAAAAGTCCAATGTCGGCTAATTTAGGAAATGATCATGCCTTTTGGAAAAGCTCAAAGCAAAGTCATGAAAGCTTATGTTCAAAGTGAACAATATCATATCATTGTAGAGAGTCATTTTCGTCTAACAATACTTACATTTTATTTATTTGACTAGTTTCCGGACATGTTAATCACATTAAGGTGAAACTTGTTTTTAATCCAATCTACATCGATCAAATTTTGAGGGTAAAATTGAAAGGATTTGGCTATTTTTCAGTGTGTGGTCGAATTTTAACTATTATTGGGCCGAAGCCTGTGTTCTTAATGGGCTCATGTGGGATTTTATGCTAATTTGTAAATTTGTCCATGTTTTGTAATTTTTTTTAAAAATTAAATTAAACTTTGGTCGAAGTTTGAAAGAAAAAAAGGTGGGTCTAGTTTGATAATTGTTTTATTATTATTTTTCAAAGTTACATACACAACAATCTAACCGCAAGGGTAAAATTGAAAATAAACGTAGGTTTGAAAGAATGTCATTATCATTTTAAATTGAAAAGGGCGATGTAGAAGAAATTCTCCCCCCATTAATGGATCCAAGGAGAAGAGGGAGTACACTTTTTCACTTCTCAGAATCTAATTTTGACCTCACAAACGAAATTAACAGATCTGTATGTAAAATTAAGGATTTCTTGCGATTGAAAAGAACAATAAGAATTAAGAGAGGGAGAGAGAGAGATCCCTTACCTCCACCCAATCTCACAATTCAAATTTATTGATTCCACACCCATACATGTAGGCAGATCAAGTTGCACATTTCTGGTACACATGCACGTAGAGGAAAACAATCATCATGAATGAATATTGGTAAGAACATATTTAAAAACTAGACTTTAGTTTTGGGTGATTCAGTTAAAAGGAGAAATGAAATGGGAAATCGATTAGATTATGAACTTGGAAAGGAAGTCTAAACGGGCTGATTCACATGCAAAAGAGCATAAATATATGGCAACAAGTAGACAGTGTAAAAGAAGTTTAGATTGCTCAATGATTTGGAGGTTTAAAGCAAGAGGATAGACTTTCACGACCCACGAGGTAAAAGCCCTCCCTTTAGGCATGCCTAATATATAGTTCCAAAATCAAAAGGAACATAAAATTTAAAAGCAAGAAAACAACTTGATTTTCTCCTTACGTGGTAATTAATTGGTATTGGCGATTCAATGCTTGACATTAGTGTGTATGCGCCACACAGCAGATTCCGACATTGGACCCTTCAATGATGGAACAAAGAAAAACATCAAATCTGCAGTGCCCAAGAAAAATAGTGTTCAGATTGGAAAGCAATGTTTGCAGTCTTTGTCATATGAAGTATAAGCAACATCAGATCATGCAGTTCCAAGAGGTGAGATCCATAAAATTAAACCACTTTTCTGAAATGGAGGGAGATTAAAGTCATTCGCTGGTTACAAAATCAAATCAAAGATTTCTGAGGTCCTAGTCAATTTGACAAATATTATACACCCCACCGTCCTTTATCTTGATAGCCAAAAGTATAAGAGGCGGCAGAATAATCTATTCTTGGGTCCTAATTGTGATATTTAGAAGTAGTTTTACTTCATTTAGAATCGAATCATGGACCCTCTACCCTTCCTTCAATGAACCACACCTAAAAAACGATTCTTAAATTCAGTAGACAAGCGAGCTCATTAACGCAAGTCTAGAATTCTTGATTAGCATATTTTCTGGTATTGCCCCATCAAGTTAGCAACACTGTGGCATAGCTATTAGTTCTTCCATCCAACTACTTGAAGCAAATAGACTGTACAGATTGGAATAATCAAGAGAGGAGAATCTTGAAAAGCAAATAGAGAATAGAACTACAGGAAACTATGTCAAGGTTAGGCACGATAATAATGTACTAATAACAAAAAAAAACTCAATGAACTGTAAAGGCAGCTACACATCCAGTCTGATACTCAAAAGGAAGCGCAATTAATAAGAATAATAATTAGCTCAACAAGCATGGGTGGATGTGGGGGATAGTGTGGGGAAGTCGATAAAGATGAGGATCCATCCACATATGGCTTAAAGAATTCGTAATATCACAGCTGTAACTTCATAGCCAATCACTGATATATGATCTCATTCCCCAGCCACGAGGACAGGGAAATAAATGAAATAGTAGAGTGGCTAAGAGGTTGGGCCACATATTGGCTATGAGGAGGAAAAAAACTCGGTGCCTACTGACGCCAGAGAAAAGAGAATCCGACACTCCATATCCAAAGAAGTCCAATAGTGTTTGAACAAGGTAGTAAATGTATCTCTCCAATCTCGAAAATGTTATGAACCTAACAATGTCTTAATTTTACTTTCTACTTGAAAAAACCATACCAATCGAAATGTTCTTGATATTTTCAACTTTTAACTGATGAGGAATTGGCAACGAACATATACAGATTCATGAAGCGAAAATTAGGGCAAGCATCTTTCGGAATGATAGAGAAAACAAAGCGTTGCATCGGTAACATCTCAAGCAAGAAACATATATTTGTACATGAACTTCTCAAAACAACTATAAATTAACAAGAATTGGAGTGCGCGGCGGCAACAACAATAGCAACGAAAATACAAGATTCAGAAACATGAATCCACCTCCGCATCGCAACGATTAAAGAACAAGAGAGAGAATGAATAGCAGAGAAAAAGAGAGAAGGTACCAGTGCCGTGGCCAAAGGGATTGAAGAAAAACCGTGGCGATGAAGTGAAAGCAGCGGCAGAATTTCAAAGAGAACGAACCAAGATGCTAGCTGATACTGTTTTTTTGCCCGTTAGAATGAGCGAGAGTAGGCGAAACCGGGCCACCGGAACGTGGGCTTTAGAAAGGCCCATATGGACCCCATGGGCCCAATTTTTGATACAATCCAATTATCTTTTAAAACCTTTTTTGGTTAAATAATATATATATATATATATATATTTTTATTATTATTATTATTATTATTTTTTTTTTCATGTAACAAAACACGTTAGGTGAATATGTTTGCAGAAAATGCTAATAGTTACTGATATTTTTTTACTAATTATAAAAATTAAAAATTTTATTAAAAATATAATGACTATTTTTAAGTTTTAAAAAATGAGAGTTCATTTAATAACAATTTAATGTTTATTTTTAAAAATTAAATCTATAAACACTATTTTTCTATCTATAAAGTTGGAACATTGTCATCCACAAAACCTTTTTTTTTTTTTTTTTTTTTTTTTTTTTTTTTTTTTTTTTTTTTTTTTTTTTTTTTTTTTTTTTTGTCCTTAACCAAATAATATTTTTTTCCTTTAATTTTTGGCCTTTCATCTTAAATAATTCTATTTTTTAATATTGTTAAATAATAAGGATTTTTATTTCATAAGAAAACATTTGAACTCCAAAATCTAAACTTAAAAATAATTTTTTAAAACAATTCGTTTTTTTTAGTTTAAATTTATTACAAAAATACAGAAACACTAAGAATTAAGACATTTATTTAGATTTGGATTTAAACTTGGGTTTCCTTTACTATAAATTTAGAAATTAAACGTTTAATTCGTATTTATAGTCAGTATTTAATTATTATAATCTCATCTATATTTCTTTAACTTTCGTATTTATTCAATTTATTTGAAGGAAAGTGACATCTTAACGAAATTTGGGTTTTATCTAAAGCAAAAAAGTAGGAAAAGAGTCCATTATTGTTTCAGATGTTAATTTATCATTATTTATAGGCTAATTTATTTTTGAAAAAATTCTTAAATATTACATATTGTTTACAAAATATATATATAATGACTTAAAATAAAAAATAAAAAAATCTCAAAATTACTCTTTTAATTTTCAAATGTTTTATTAATACTCTTAACTTTTTTTAAATTTCAAAAACATTTTTAAATTTTTTTTTATTGAAAATATATTTACCATTAGTACGTTTGGAGATAATTTATAAAGTGTCGATAGACAATTTTCTTCTAATATCGACAATAAAAAAAATCAATTATATATATATATATATATATATATATAAAAGTAAAGAGGTTGATTCTATTTTTAAATTTTCATGGATATTTTTTTAATATATTTTTAAAATTTTTTTTAGATTTAAAAATATTAACCTAACTTTTCAAAGTTTAAATGCATTTTTAAAATAAAATACTAACCGTTCCAAGGTAACTATAGGCCATTTTTAGATTTTCTTTGAAAATTTAAAGGTATTATTTATTTATTTATTTTTAAGTTCTAATATTTTTTTTTAGAGTATAAAATTCATATATCTACAATTTTGTTTTAAAAAGGAGAGAAAATGGTAAATAATAAATAAATAAACGAGGAAATCAGTAAAAATAAATAAATAAAAGAGAGAGAAAGAGAGAGGAAATAAATAATAAAATGTCTCCTATGATTGTAACTTCTTGTCCAATCATCTCAAGTGATTTTCTCTTCACTTTGACAAGAAGACTGTGATTACTTAAATTTCAAGTAACAAAAAGTCCACACTTTGTTTAAATTATGAGAATATGAATTGTGATTTTAACTTCACAATGATATTAACTTTTACAAGAAGTAGAAATAATACAAGAAAACAATTCAGAGGCAAACGAAGGGAATTGAAAGCATACAAATCAATGGCTTCTGATTTGAATTTGATCTTCCAAGATCATAAAGAAGAATATTATAGAGGAAAAGCTAAGAATTGTGACTGTCTCACCTTCTTCCAGCACTTCCAATGGAGCTGAGGTTCCAATCATGTCTGTTCCTCATAAAGATGAGGACGAAGAATGAGAAGACAATGGAGAACACGGAGGAGGAGCTCGTCTCGTCTGAGTTCTTCCTCGGCGAACCATCGAGGAAGGAGATGAAGTAGAATCAGAACTGGGAGTTTTTGTTGATTCATTTGTCAATTCCTTCTTTGTTTCCATGGTTACAACCTTGTCTTCTATTCTGTTGTGGTGACGGATTCTGGTGGAATTGAAGGTCACTGGTAGAACACAATTGCAAAGAAACCCTGAAAAATGAACAGAAAAAAAGAAACAGCCCAATTGATCCAAAATGGTGCAGCACAAAACCAAGTAGGCACGTAAACTAGATTACAAATTCAAAATACTTTTTCAGTTACTTTCTCCGATCAAACAAAACTATCAAAATTGTTATAACGTATCTCAGCAAGATCATCTTACTACTAAAGAACGGTTAGAAATTACGACTCTCCATAATGGTATGACATTGTCCATTTTGAGCCTAAGCTCTTATAACTTTATTTTGAGCTTCTCAAGAGGCATCATACAAATGGAGATGTATTACTTACTTATGAACTCACGATCCTGCCAAATTCACATTCAAGAAAAATGATGAACTGGAAAGCTGAATTTGGGTTGTGTTCATGTTCATCAGAAAATTATGTGAAACTTTTAAACGAACTTGAAATCGGTAGAAATGCACAAACGGAAAAGAGAAACTGATATGCTAAACAGGTCATGAATGAATAAAAAGAAAGAGGTACTTTCTTACCAATTCTAGCAAGGCGATTAACCCAGTTTGGGATGGAATTCCCTGTGAGTTTAACACAAGCATCATTGCAAAAATGGTTGCAGTTTTTGGTGATCAAATTGTAAGCATTTCCCTTGTAGGATTGGGCAAGTTCATCCATTAAAGCTCTCACCTCTGTTGGTTTCATATCTGTTTTGCCTACCAAAACTGTCTTCCTAAATCGAAATCCGTCGCATTGCTTCGGCAGTCCTTCAAAAATTCCCGTTGTTGAGCGCTCGTGAGCTCCAAATGCGTATTCCACACCATGAACTACAATCGAAATCCACAGCAGAAACGTAAAATCGAGTTCGACAAATTTAACTGAAAGATCTACCAGATTGAGCATAAGAACTCCACCGACATCGACCACGAAATCGCATACTATAAAGAAACGAGTTGGTTCATTCAAACGAAAAGCCGGAAATAGTATCGAAATCTTTTAATAAAATTTTACTCATCTGCCTAATCGGGCTCGAAGTTCGATAGCTTTTTGGTAGTCTAATTGATAGAAAAAAAATGCAGAATCGTGATGAAAACTTGCCGTAAAACAAGTTGACAGTTCATGAAAAGCGTTTGGCTAATCAGAAATTTTCTCACAGCCGATGCATCTCTCGGTTCACAGTACACACAGTTAACAGTCGCAGAAATCTTCTTCCCATCCAAACGCAAAATTAAAAAAGAATGTCGCATATCGCATCACATCGCATCAACGAATTAGCAAGATCACAAAAAAATAAGAAAAAAGAAACGCAAAAGCAGCAATAGAGATTCGGCCAAGAGAAAACAGAAAAAACTCAGGAAACGCCTTAGAAAACGAAGATCAAACGGAAGCAATTACTGCCATTACTGACCTTGAACTCCGGAATGGAAAACGCCGAGGCCAAACCAGTAAGCGTAGCCATTGATCGCGGTTAGATCGTACACATTCAGATACACCGGCACGGATCCTCCGGTGCGTTCTTCGATTGGTTTCTTAAACAATAACATCATTCCGTCTCAATTCATGGCCAAGAACTCTCAAAAGACGGAACCGATAAAACGTAGAGTGAAGTCCTCGAGAAACGGAAATTTTGAAATTCAAAATCTGTGGAGAAGAACGGAAACTCTTGTTTCTTAGTTTCTAATTCTAACGGGCGTCACCGGCGGTGACTCGTTGTTGAACACCGTAGAAATGATCTGGACCGTGGACGATCCTAGTTTGGTGAGGGTATACCAACGGGCTCGGTTTTTGGCTCTAATTACATAAATGCCACTGAGAGCTTTTTAGCTGGCTCTCTAATTTTCTCGTGCTGGCTAAGTTTTATATAACTTGATCACTAACCTAAATCTTTTTTTTTTTAATAATTAGATTAAATATTTTTTAGCTAAAGTTTAAATAATATTTTAATATACTCTCTCTACTTTTAATAATATTATTTTTATTTTAATTTCTATCATTAACAAGATTCTAATCTTTTCAGATGATTACATTTCATATATATATATATATATATATATATATATATATATATATATATATTATTGAAAAGTTTTTATAGCATAATTTTCTAGATATTTAGGTTTAAAAATAATTTTATTCATCACAGATTATTTATTTATGTTGTTTTATTTCATAAATAATGAGTGTTAATTTGTATAAAATACGTATTATAGATTAAAAGATAAAAAAAAAAAATCAATTATTTTATCGAATACATTATTAAACTGTCTTTATTTTATTATACTTTCGACTTTTTTATTGTTGGTAAGGTAAACATATTAGTTACTTAATTATTGAATTTGTTTAAACGAAGATTAATGAATTTTTTAATTTTTTAATTTCACTTTTTTTTTTTTAAATAGTTAAACGGTAATTTTGGTCGATGTAATTTGAAAAAAAAAAAAATTGTGAGATCACACATCCGTCAGAAAAAGGAGAACGAAACATTTTATATAAGAGTGGATAATTTTTTCTAGTAGATGTGTTTTAAAATTGTGAGAATGTCAGTGATACATTACGGGCCAAAGCGAGACAGGATCTAGTATCAGAGTCAAGCTATATGTAGTGTGAATGCTGGAGGCAAAAAATGGACAATATTTGATAGTGGTGAACTTAGACAGTTACAAATGATATTAGAGTTAGATAATTGGTGGTGTAGACGCTAACCCTTAAGAGGATGAATTGTGAGAGGAAAATAAAACATTAATTATAACGGTGTAAAAACCTTGATAAATACATTATAATCTGACCTAAAATATTGTATTTTAAAAAAATAATTAAATGTTTCGATAAAATTTAGGTATATAATAAGTTACAGAGTATTTAATTTGTATCACGAGATATTCTAATTTTAAATAGACGATTTAAATTTTTTTATTCATAAACTCATCATACAAAAAAAATAAATAAATAAATTATGATTTCATTAAATACAAAATTTATTTTGATATCTAATACATCCGTTTATTTTTAAAATTTTAAATATGGTAGGGAGTTAGGGACGTGTGAAAAATGAAAATTTTATTTATTTATTTTAAATTTAGGGTCTGAGCGCGAAGCTTAAACCCTAAATCCCGCGGGGAATTTCCTCTTCATCTTCCTCAATTCAAATTCACCACAGATAATGGCGCGAGTGATTCGACCATTGAGGAAATGCCTTCAGCTTTCCGATCACATGTGCAAGCGCACCGACAATATCCGATCAAATTCCCACCTGAAAACCCTACATTTCCGACATGCTCAGATTCGTTTTCGAAGGAACTTGATTTCTCTCTCCCAATCAGGTTTGTTTCTCTGTTCTTCTATCTGCCGCGGAAAGAAATATGAAATCTAGAAGCTGTTGAAAAAGTTAATTTCGTGTCCATCGGGTTTCGTAGTTCTTCAATTTTTGTATTGTAGCTCCGTAATTAGCTTTGAATAGTTTATTGAGATTAATAATTTATTGTATGGATGAGTTCTGCCCTCGGTTCTTCGTTTTTTTCTTACAATTAATCCATAGAAGCTACACGAGCGTCCCCGTAATTAGCAAGCAAAAATATTCACGAACGGTTGAAGAATTGAGCATCGCTGTTTCTTAGTGGGTTGTTTTTCGGGAGAAATAACTCTTCTGCAGTAGAAGAATTTCGATTGAATAATATGCACCACCGTGCTTCCCTAGAACTACCATGTTCTCCGGGAATGGAGGTGCTTAGCTTGGCCAGATAGTCTCTTCGAAACAATGCCAACTCATCCGTATGCTGGCCCTGAATTCAAGTATGAGTTTGATGGCCCTCAATATTTTCCATATTCTGAATTCAAATATGATGAACAGTATCAATAAATAATTGCTTGCATATTGTGTCGGTGACAATCTTCATAATCTCGATCTTATTTTAATATTATCATCTTGCCCCAATTATTAAATCACAATGCCTCCGAATTTTCTGAGATGACTATGTTTGTACACAGGGAATTGGATAATGAATATGTTGAAGCAAGGAGTGCGGCGCTGTTTTCCTTCATAAATCTATGAAGAACAAGGATAAACAGATTTCTTTAGATGGATGGAAACTGTAAAAGCATTCATTGAAATCAATTGAAATTATTGACTCTGCAGTATTTTCATTTGAGAATAGTTGTTTGCTGTTGGTTGGATATCGATTTTTGGTGAGTAATATTGACCCTAATGTACTGAACTATCCAGAATACATAGTAGTATTGTACACAAACTGAGGAGAATGAAGTTGCTGCATCTTAAATTGCTCAGCACTTGTCATTCCAACTAGCAGCGTGGACATAGCGCTTAAATTAAGGAGAATGAAGTGGGAACATTGCGCCCAAATGATGATGTGACATCTCATTCCAGTTAGGAGAAGCACTCAAATCCTTTTACTAATTAAAATCTTATCTTCGTGCAGAAACTACCGCCATTTTAGTCTTTCACCCACTCATAAATTTGATGGCTTTACTAGAAAAAATGGAGAGCTATGAAGTATAACTCAATGAATAGACAACCCAACTGCTGAGGTAAGATTCCGTGCCATCTCTTGTCATTTTCAAGACATTGTGATATTTTCTGCTTTATTTTGGGAAGTCCTTGTAATATGGGATTTTAATAATAATGATTGTGTTTTATTATAAGATTCCAGTTTTTTTTTTTTTAAGTTTCTTTACTGCTCTCTGTCTTAGTAGAAAGTTCGGGAGAAACCCGTTTCAAAGTATCAATTAGTGAGAGGGGAGTATTATTACAAATCCGAACCCGGAACTAGTCAGATGGAGTAGATAACTTACTTTTTTAAAAACTAAGTAAAAAAAATCCATCTCTTCTATTTTATTCTCTGAGAATACAGTATGTGCTGACCAATGAAATACCGAGATATTGTTGTCGACGTGATCGGTACTTTTCAATGGACTGATCTTTTGAGGGTTGTTGGGAGAGGAGTCCCACATTTGCTAATTAAGGAGTTGATCATGGGTTTTTAAGTAAAGAATACATCCATTGGCCTTTTGGAGAAACCAAAAGCAAAGCCATGAGAGCTTATATTCAAAGTGGACAATATTATACCGGATTCCTAACATACCCAAGTATGAAATCAAGAAAATGTGATGTCATGGGTAGCACAAGTGTTACTGCTTATGTCAAACATGGAACATGAATTCACTCCATTGACCATCACTATTATCTTGGCTTGCATGTCTTTAGATCATTTGAAAAAGAACTTTAAGAGTTCGCCTGGAATGACTTATTTAAGTGTTTAAAAAGATTTTTTTAAACACTTAGAACGTCTTTTCAATTATGCTCTAAAACTCGTTTTGCAGTCTTTCCTTTTTGTACTTGCTCTCACTTATGTATGTGATATTGCATTTGATTCATATTCTTTTTGTAATCGAAAGAGTATTATTGAAGTTTAATCCATGTAATCACTATAACCTCCAATTTGTAAATAGTAGGTAGGGAGACAGTGATGTTTATAGCATGGTTTCTTTTAGTTTGGTACTTACAAATGCAGAATGTTCGCTTTAGACTTTTGGCAATTTTCGACAGTAATCGTTTAACTAACACTTAATATATTGCGGAAATGGATTTCTCATTAATACAGGGAATACTACAGGCCACATATTATCTTCCAAACGGAGGAAAGCAAGATTTTTACACGTGTGGTAATTTAAGGCAAAGGAAGAAAAGGGGGGAAAGGTTTTGGTCCATCTTAGAGTTACAGCCTCAAAGACAAGTCTAAACAGTCTAGCTTGTGCAGTTCATTATGAGGACGCTTTGAATCCAACAATGTGTCACTGTTTGACGACAGCCTCCAACCACCATCAAAACCTTCTGCTCCGCTGCTTGATGGCAGTACCGGTGAGGCCCCCAACCGATAATTCTTCGACAAGGGCCATTTGCCAGTTGCCACTTGCGTGTAAAGAGGCTGTCTGTCCCAGACCTCAGGCTCAAAAGGATGAATGGAACCAAAAACAGGTGCATGGGAAAATGGCTTATGAATCATTGAATGCATTTGAATTCCAAGTGATCTATTGAAGCCTTGAAAAGGCAGGGAGGACACACTCGAGTGTTTGCAATCAGTTGAATTGGTAACTAATTTATGGGCTGGTTTAGCCTTTTTCCTCTTTCGATTATGAGCATTTTGGTGGCCTCCAAGTGCCTGTGAACTCAAGAACTCCCTTGGGCAAAAATTGCAGGAGAAAACTCGAGGCTTAGCTGCTGCTTCTGTACCTTCGTAGGAAATGTCGTTTGGTAAATTATCAGCACAAAAAAAGTCAATTAGGTTCAATTCCTCTGGCAAACTCCCGCCCAAATCCTTGTTTGAGAGGCTTAGATCGAGGGAAACAAGTTCAGGGCTTATGTCTTTTGAGTCACTTGGATCCTTTACTTCTGGAGGGCTATCCATTGAAACTTGTTGCAGCCATGGAAGTTCATCTGCCAATGAGTTGATGCTGGTAGTTTCTGGCTCTGATTTTGCTGGAAGACTCATGGGTTATATTGTGCGGCACTCACTTCACTTCTCAGCATCAAGTGAGTTAAGCTTATTCGTTCTTGCGTCGCCTACGGTCAAGCGACGTATGCTCGAGCTTCTGGCCCCAGTTCAAGAAGAAAATTTTAGAAAACGATGACAGAGAGATTTCGACAGAAAATTTTGAAAGCGAATTGAGAAATTGAAATTGGTGTTATATAGAAATGTAAGCAAAAGGCAACAACAACCGCTTACAACCGCTTACAAGTAAGGGAAAATTTTGTGAGTATATTTACCTTCATAGGTGATAACATTTGGGTTAATGGAGAACAAGATGAATGCCAATTGACATATATATAGATCTTAGTTACAATGATGGATTGTTGATATAATGTCATGATATGACTTGCAAACTTGCAAACTTATTGAAAAGGTTTAGTATTATTTCATGATCGCATGCTTTTTTTTTTTTTCTTTGGCAGCCGAAGTAGTGAATGGTTTGTGGATGAGTGCTCTTGAAGTAGTTGAAGTAGTTGGTCTGACTTCGAACCTACGTGTCTATGACTTCATTTCTCAAGAAATTTGTACACTGGAAGATCATGAATTTGAGATTTTCTCTACTAAAAATATTCTCTTAAAGGAAGGTATTCGTGCTTGGATGACGGCTCAACATCAGCCTCATGAAAACCTTATATTGTTTAATAGAACTTTAACTTTAGTTAGTCGTGACCAAGAAACTATGGGTTTCGCTTGGTAGGTCGAGAATGCTTGATTTATCAATTTAGCAGTAGTGAAGATTGCCATAAAAAAAAAAAAAAAAATACAAATAATATGAAAAAAAATAAACAATTAAAGCTGTGTTCGGTCCATCAATTTAAAAATTTAAAGTTTTGAAATTTTAATTATTATAACTTAAAATATAATTATCAAATTATGTTTTTCGTGATAACGATTGATTATCAAAAATAAAAATATTAGTTACGTAATTATAAATTATCCATAAATATTGGAACATAAACCTAAACTAAACAAAGTTTTATGAGAATAATTTAATGGGCATTTAAGAAAATAATAATAAAAAAAGTTAAAAACATATACCATTGAGACAATGATTTTTTAATAAAAATATTTACGATTATATAATATTATTATTTAATTTATTTTCACCAATTTTTTTTGGGTTTTAATGGGCCTAATGACTCTCAATTTATTTTTTATTTTTCTCTTCAATTGGTTTAAATAAATCTCAATCTTTTTAGGGTTTTAGGTTTTATTTTCTATATTCGTATTTATCATACATTAAATTGGAGTTCAAGATGTTATTTTCTATAATTCAATTTAATGTTTATAGACATTTTAGAATTTAGGGTCTAGGGTTTGGGCTTTAATTTGTGGAACACAAAAAATCCCGAACCCAATACCCACGGCCCAGATTCGTTCTATATATATCTACTAAGCCCAATAAACCAGCCCATTTGAAAAAATATCGAACCCAATACATACGGCCCAGTTCGTTCTATATATCTACTAAGCCCAATAAACCAGCCCATTTGAAAAATACCGAACCCAATACCCACGGCCCAGTTCGTTCTACATATCTACTAAGCCCAATAAACCAGCCCATTTGAAAAATACCGAACCCAATACCTACGGCCCAGTTCGTTCTATATATCTACTAAGCCCAATAAACCAGCCCATTTGAAAATACTGAACTCAATACCCACGGCCCAGATTCGTTATATATATATACTAAGCCCAATAAATCAGCCCATTTATACGATACCGAAAACTTTCATAAACCCCTAATCTTCTCTACGAACATCCTCTCGCAGTCCTGCCGCCGCCGCAGATTCTCAATTCTCTGGTAAGCCTCTCTCTCTCTCGCTCTCTCTCTCAATCTCCGGTAAGCAGTTCTTGTTCTCCTCCTGGTTAGCCATTGTTATCCCTTCCTTGGTGTCCACGAAAACAAAGATCGTCTCCATTAATCCTTCTCGTCCTCGGATTTCGAACTCACAGCTGTTTATTGATCTCCCGCTATCTTGATTATCAAAACCGTAAAACCAAACCCCAGTAGAGCGAACGGATTAGTAGTTTACTCTATATGCCTTCGTTCTTGATTCAAATTGTCTGTTCTAGAGTTCCTTATTTGTTTTGTTTAATTATCCTTTTTTGCAGTTTTTTGTTTGCAGAAGGAAGGAGAAAGAACTTCTAGTCAAGAAGAAAGATGTCAGCGTGAGTGGAAACTTGTTTATAACTTTTTCCAACTTTCCTGTTAATTGCCAATTTTTGTGTTGTAGCTGATGGTTTCCTTTTCAATATCTTGGATATAGGCGATGCCTTGGTTTTTTTCAGAAGTAGAATCTTCTGCTTGGAATCGATTATTTTGGTCTTAGGTCATATCCAATTCAAAGTTTTGAAGTTCAATATATATATATATATACACGTTGATCTGTATTAGTTCTTTGCATGGGATTAAGAGTTGCTGAGGATTGAATACCCCTTTATTACATGTTAAATAGTACTAGGGAATTTGAGGCATTTTTTTTTGGTAATATCATAATATTTGCGTAAATGTCTATTCAATTGCCTTCTATTGTTGACAGTAGCATGCCATAGTGGGGTTTTTTAATCCCTTTTAACATGATTTCTTTTGCAGTGATGAAGTTACAGTTGTGGCTGAGGCTCCTGCCCCAGCTCTAGGTGAGCCAATGGACATTGAGACTGCTTTGCAACTTGTTCTTAGAAAATCATTGGCTCACGGTGGGCTTGTTCGAGGCCTCCATGAGAGTGCTAAAGCTATTGAGAAGCATGCTGCTCAGCTCTGTGTCTTGGGAGAAGATTGCAACCAGCCAGACTATGTTAAACTAGTCAAAGCCCTTTGTGCGGAGCACAACGTTAACTTGATGACAGTTCCTAGTGCAAAAACCCTTGGCGAGTGGGCCGGTGTAAGTGTTTAAATCTTATTTATGCATATTTTCTAACATTCTATCTATAGATAAAAGGGTTTATCTTGCTCGTTTTTTGTTCATCTTTGGCACCATTATGCACTATGCTATACTCATTCTACCAAGATTAAGCCTTTACCTCTTAATGTTTAGCTACATGTTTTACATGTTCTGCATTGTACAATATTATGCACATAGGCCTTTGTTTTAAGCAAAGTTTTCCCATATAAGTTCAGGATTCCAGACAAGTAATTTTTGTTTTCCATACTTGGTCTAATTCTTCAGCTATGCAAGATTGACTCGGAAGGAAAGGCAAGGAAGGTTGTCGGTTGCTCTTGTGTCGTAGTTAAGGTACATCCGTGTGTCCATTCACATCCATAGCAACTATTCCATCTTAGAAAACATTTTCGTTTACTTGAAATTTGAATGTGTTATCCATAGGACTTTGGGGAGGATCACGAGGCGCTTCACATCGTGCAGAAGCATGTGAGTTCAAATTGATCATCAAAACGGTGTCTGCTGAGACTACATTTGCTTGGCTCACTTAGAAAGTTTTTGATCATTAGCTATGTTTAGATTGGTGCACCGTTGCAGCTTTAACACCTTCACCCTACAATGTGTTCTTTTTTGTTGATTGATTGGAAATACTAGTTTTTTATGTTCTGAGTCCATTGATGTGATGCTCATTATTATCATTCCGGCCAACATAACAATATTCATCAAGAGTCTCCTTGCCATGGGAAATGTTCAATTGATATTTATCATCTTTTTCTTGCTGTATTCACTATTAGATTTATCTACCTCCGCTCTTTCTTGCTAAGTATTGTTATTTTGGTGATTTTTAATTTGTATCAAAATGGCAATATATTGTCAATTGTCATGCTTTCGCTAAAGCTTGTTTAGACGCTTATAGATATTAAAAAATTTTGAATTGTATGAACATATCAAATGATGAAGCAATTAAATCGAAGTCTTTTTATGTAGTTATGATTTTTATTGACTTAGAGTCGTTAAGGGTACAACCTTTTGAGCTTGAGCTTATGGATTTAGACTCGTGAAGGTACAACCTTTTGAGCTCATGGGAATATCTCGTGGGACAAAGACAACAAGTTAATTGATCCAATGAATCCAATTTGTACTTGGGCAATATTTTGAGAGACAAGATGACAAACAAATGAAGGCATGAAGTTTTCTGAGTATATTTTAAATCAAACTCATTTCATTTTGATAGATGGGTAATATTAATATGGATTTAGCACAAATATTTTCAAGAACATGCCTCGAATTTTGTATCAATTTTAGCATTTGATGCTTAAAAAGACAGCAAACAAACGTTTTGGCTGTTAGAGTTGTATTTTTCTTGGGTAATTTGAACGTTGCGACACCCGAACTGAATCATGGCTTAGGAATCTGCGCCAAAAACAATGCCAAAAGGGCGCCAAGGGGGAAGCCAACAAGCAAGAAACGAGGGAAAACAAGGTCCAGACATGGCAAACCAACAGTCTCGGATTTCAAGCTCAAAAGCATGAACTAAATTTGATTGAAAGGGCGAAATCCGAAACTGCCCATTATTATTCTGCAAGTTTCTACTTGCATGCCCAACGCTGTATTTTGTGGCATGAGCCATTTCGACGCCTGATAAAGATTTTCCTTCTGAGCTTTTGGATATGTGCTTGTCCACGAAAGAGCTCGAGGAGATGCTCATGGATACTGGGAACAAGCTCCTAAACCCTCCTTCTTCCATTGATGCCCTTCTCAAAGCTCTCGATGTAAGGGTTCATTTCTTCTCTCTGTACATTTCTTGTTATGCGTAATTTTTTCTGTGTTTTGATCAATTTACAAGAATTTCAAATGGTTTATGCCTTTCACATAACACGAACCGTCTTTTCATATCTTCGTTCAGAGAGCTGAGTGTCTATTAACAAATGTGGAGCAATCGCCAATGCGATCGATGCGTGAGGCGCTCCTGCCATTAATGAAGGCGTTAATTTCGGATAAGCTTTTGAAGCATTCAGAAGAGGATGTGAAGGTTACAGTAACATCCTGCATTACTGAGATTACAAGAATAACAGCGCCAGATGCTCCTTATGATGATGAGAAAATGAAGGTATCTTTTAAGCTGCTCATTCTTGGAATGCATATTCCGGTGTATTCCTTTAGTTATTTCTTTCGTTTCCACTAGCGCAGGTGATTTTTCAGCTGACTTTAGAAGCTTTTAGAAAGTTGTCAAATGTATCCGGTCGTGGTTATACAAAGGCTTTATCGATTCTTGACGCTGTTGCGAAGGTTCGTTCATGCTTGGTGATGCTGGATCTGGAATGTGAGGGTTTGATTCTTGAGATGTTCCAGAATTTCATGAAACTCATTAGGTAAAGGTCATAAAATGGTTGATATTTTCCTGGTAGTTTATTCCACATTTGAAGCTTACATGGTGGCATTAAACCTCACCATCTCGAAACCTTAACATCTGATCTTTCCACGCATCTTTAAGTTTGTTCTCGAGCCGAACTCCCCAAAAAATAGCCGAAAAAACTAGTGTGCCACAAAAATTTGCCATTCTCCTGATAGAGGAACATAAATTGAATGTCTCCAATCAATGGTGCCAAAAAGATTGAACAAACTAATAGCCCTGCAACAAATTATGCGAATTCTCGTGTTTGACGACAAGAAAGAATGCACCACTATAGAAACAAAACAAGGGAAGAGTGTCTCAAACCTGCCACGCAAAGAAACTTCAACCTTCGAGATGTAGAAGAAAGGAAATGTAGTTTGTAGTGTGATGGGATAGACAAAATGTGAGAGAAGGAACTACTAGAGAGACCCCTTGAAGAATCAGGAATCGAAAGCCTAAAATCCCTTCTCCCTCAAAACACCTAGCGATTATGGAAAAAAAAACTCGATCAACAACATCTAGTGTCTATCTATCAGAGCTTGAAGCCCAACGCCAAAGAGGAGAAGGACTTAGAAGCTACATAATGAAACTCCTTACTCAAAAGATGGTTTAGGCAAGGGAACGACTTCTGAAGAGGTTTCTCTCCCACCCACCAATCCTCCCAAAACTAGACGCTCGTACTCTCCCCAATAGTACATCTAGTAAACGAGGAAGAAGAACTTTTTATGAATATAGACATTACTAACCTCACAAGCATGCTTTGAGTACCATGAAAGATATTGTAGACTCACATCTATATTGGTAAAATAAATTCCAGATCTTAAACTAGCTTTAGGCATTGACGGAATTGAGAAAGTTTGCCGTAGATCTTTAGTGATACGTTCACTGAAAATGATTTCTTAGGCACATCATTTATCAGAATTGACAATAAATTGAGATTAGTAAAGGGCTCCCTACAAATATCTGAATGTATTGGCTCAGTGATTAGGAGAAGAGAGTATCATTTTTATTTGGTGAGCTTGCTCTGATCTTGATGTTCTATTTCTAATAATTTTAGGTCTATTTTCTTCTTCTAATCTTGATTTATTTTCTCCAAATTCTAAGTTCCAACAATCCACCTGCTGTTTTTTCAGCCATGGAAGCAATTATGACAAATGTGTTGGAAGAAAGTGAAGAAATCTCCCCAGATCTTCTCAGGCCTATTTTAGCAAGTGTCAGAAAGGAAATTAAAGTATTATGATTATATTCTAATATCTTGATCTCCCTTGTTTGTTATTCCTGACCTTATTTCTTTTACATCATCATCAATTAATTGGATTGCCCATTATTATAGGAAGCCGCTTCGATTTCATGGAAATTGGGAGAAAAGGTTATGTCGAACTGTGCTAATAAGCCCCAGCCCTATCTTATGGGCGCAGTTCAGTCTCTTGGTGCTTCTTTGGATGACTATGCCCCGATAGTTATTTCTATATGCCGAAATGGAACTGATAGCGTTGGTGCGGGGAATCACTTGGTGAGTTCTACTGACTAATACAGAAAGTTGTTTTGGATTTTATATGGGTTTGAATTGGTGCTATTTTGAACTGTCATATGCGGATGAATTGCATCATAAAGTTAATACATTTGTTTGAGAATCTATAGTTACTTGATACAGTCTTCTGCTAAGGGGCATCAGGCTCCAAGGACGTTTTGTTTCCTTTTGATCTTGTTTAGTTAATAAAACATCAAAACTTTCTTTTTTTCATTTATTTAAACATGGTGTCTGAATGATATGAACTTGAGGCCCCCGCCCTTCTTTATCTTTTAGTTTTGGGATGAACTGAAGAAGGATTGATAACGAAAGGGGAACGTGCATCTTTAGCCATTAATTGGGTTAGTCGAACAGCAGTTATTGAATAAACTATTTGAAATATCTTCGTCCAATTCAACAGAACTACGTATCTTTATGATTTGGCCCCTGCTTTTATGACATTGGATTGAATGCTTCAGGAAAATGCAAAGAACGAGGAGAAGGGGATGAATTCAAACGTGCCAACGCTGGTATGTGCGTTTATCTATATCTTATACAATCCTCTCTCAACATCCCTTTCCTGAAAGAAAAAAACTCCATATTAGCAGCTTCTTCAATGAAATATCACAAAGTGATATCTACTCTTGGCAAGTAGTGGCGCAGACGCATACGCCAAATGCAAGTATTGAAGAGAATCCTCGAACTGATGCTGCTTCAGAATCATTGATATCCAATGGTACAGGTGCAGCCAGGAATGGCAACATACTGAAGGCATCCTCGAGAAAATCACAAAAACGTAGTGAACAGTCAAAAATGACAGAAACCAAAATACCTGACAGTGTAGAGTCTACGAAGGCAGAGGACACATTAGACCCTGTACCGAAGAAACGAGGCAGGAAACCCAACTCGTTAATGAATCCAGATGAAGGCTATGATCATTATTGGATTGGAAAAGGACGGGAACGGTTCATGCTATCCAATCGTAGAAAGTCCAATGACCAAGAAACTAAGTTTTCTCCTGTAAGCCTAAGAGTGGAAAAGACTTCTTTGCCAACAGAGATAGAAAAGGAGTCTTCCGCACATGCTGCAGAGAAACATATACGACCTGAAGATGAAGTGGTAAATGAGAATATGAAGAATATGGTAGAAAAAACTCAGGGAAGGTCAAAGAAATCTAAAGTTGGTAAGTCTAAGAAGGATAGAGCACTCATTGATCCCGAATATGTTGTTTCAGAAGAGAACGTTTCTGCTCCCTCTGATTACAAAGAAACACAGTCGATGCATTTGGTTTTGAAGTTGAGACTGAAGAACAGCAACGGGAACGGGTCAGTAGTCCAAAAAGATGTTATAGTGAAATCTAAAGATACTAATATGGAGAAGAATATTCATAATCCATCAACCTGTGAGGTACATCAAAAAAATCTTCTCTACTTATTCATTATTAAACCACATGTTGAACTTGAAGTGTATATTTACTAAAATCCTTCCTTTATTCTTCTGTTACACCACTTAATGGCGCCTCTTCACATTCTTATCCACTGAATAGGCAAAGGATTCCAGATCGGCCAAGTTAGAGGGTGATGATTACTCGGAAGAAACCTCCCACGAAAAAGCTACAAGGAAGCGTGCCATTGTGGAAAAAGAGGTAAGAATTTTGTAATCTTCCTTTGTATCGTAAATTGACCCGGCTTCCATAACTCTAATGCTGACATGCTTTGATGATACTTTTTAGTCTCTTACCTTTAAGTTTAACACACAAAGAAAGCACGTCATACTTTCATGATTGAACATGAAATTTTACACAATATACAAATCATTCCTCACTCAGATATGTCTTAGATTCTTTTTAAAAAATAAACATTTGTGTTGTAACGGCTCAAGCCCACAGCTAGCAGGATATTGTCCTCTTTAGGATTTTCCCTTTCAGGCTTCCCCTCAAGGTTTTTAAAACGCGTCTGCTAGGAAGAGGTTTCTATACCCTTATAAAAGAGTGCTTCGTTCTCCTTCCCAACCGATGTAGAATCTCACAATCCACCTCCCTTCGGGGCCCAGCGTCTTCGCTGCACTTGTTCCCTTCTCCAATCGATGTGGAACCCCTCAATTCACCCCCATTGGGGTCCAACGTCCTTGCTGGCACACTGCCTCATGTCTACCCTCTTCAGGGCTCAGCCTTCTCGCTGGTACATCGCTCGGTGTCTAGCTCTGATACCATTTCTAACGTCTCAAGCTCACCGCTAGCAGATATTGTCCTCTTCAGGCTTTTCCCTTCAAGGTTTTTAAAATGCATCTGCACCCTTATAAAGAATGTTTCATTCTCCTCCCCAACCGATGTGGGACTTCACATGTGGCTTCTGCTAACCTGTATTGTTTAATTTCGTTGCAGGTAATGGACATATCAAGTGCAAAAGAGGAACTGGTTGGTAGGAGAATAAAGGTTTGGTGGCCCCTGGACAGGAAGTGAGTACTTAATGAACTTGCTGATTGTGCATTTTAGATATCAATGCAACCCTTTATTTATTTCTCTGTTTCTGTCAAATTTGTTTATGAGTTGCTCTGTTAAAGTAACCAAACTAAGTCTTCGAGCTTTTATTACCAACTTGGCGGGGGGATACCTTGCCTCATGGCTTCTATGCAATAAAGTTTATATAACAATGAACACTATGGACACGAACTTAGTCATTTTTTTTTTGTTTTGTAGGTTTTATGAAGGTGTTGTTCATAGCTTCTACCCAGTGAAGAAAAGGCACAAGGCAAGATGACCCTATACTGCCCTTAACCATTTGTCTTATTTCTGTAAACCTTTTCCTTTTCCGAGTGTATGCTTTTGTCAATTTCGTAACCAGTCATATTATGAACTGCTTCACTTCGCATACGACCACGCCTTTGGTTCAGTAACCACTCATTCCTTTTCTTCTTATAGCCAATCCCTTGACCATACTGCTTTCGCCCTCCTTTGTCCTTGTAATGATGTCCACTTAAATCATTCCTCTGATGCAGCGATCATTGGATGATACTCAGATGAACTAACCCATCCATTCTGCATTTTATTTTTCAAGGTGTCATATGACGATGGCGATGAAGAAATATTAAACCTCAAAACGCAACAATATGAGCTAATTGGTGCCAATGCTCTGCTACTTGGAGTAGGTGTCACTTAAACTATTTTAGCCTATTTCCCTGAGTTTTCTACTGCCATTTATATTTGTTTTCTCCTACTTGTTTTTGGTAGGCTGATACAGGATGAGGAGAGAGATGGATGTCCCAAAATCCGAAGCTTCATCTGATATGTAAGCTTCGTTCTTATGTGACCGTAATTTTCTAAAACTTGTTTTTGTTAGCTAAGATTCCTTCCCGGTTCGACGAGTCAAAATTCCTGAAATCGTTCCTCCGACTTTTCATTGGCGATTCTGATTAAGCTACTTTTACATATATGGGTTTCTGGTACTTGTTATTAATTATTCCACAACCAAATCACAAATATTTTTGTTTTACTTTTTAGTAGACTGCGAAAGAGGAAAAGGAAAAGGAAAAACAAGTCAGAATCAGACAAGGAGGAAATAAACGGTTCTCCAACCAGAAGGTTGCTTGCTTGCTTGCTTGCTTGCAAAGTGTTTACTTTATCCATTTCACTTTCTTGTTTGGCTTCCAGGTTCTATCAAATGTTCTTGGAATTGCAGGGGTAGAGCTTCAGCCAAGAGGAAATCGGAAGCTACATCATCGACATTGCGCAAGAAAGCTGCCAACAGTTCCATGCTCGACGATGGAGGTTGCATCAATAATAGTACAAAAGGAAATGATAAAAACCTCATAAACTTGATAAAAAACAGTAGACTAAGGATTAGCTTAAAGTCCAAGCCGAATGGTGGCCGGGATTAACGCACCAAGAGACGAAGCTGAACCCCTTGGCACCAAAAATTTAGCAGGATTAGAGATGCGAGAACCTCTTACCATCGTTTTGCCAGTTAGGAAAGAGCATAGGCCAGCATAGTTCCTTGCTTTTGTGTCCTAAGACGTAGAAAGGAAAACAGGATTTCAGCTAACCAGTCTTCTAAACAGTAGAGCCATCATATATAAACAAACCTCCATGTATAGGCAGACAGTTATTATGTCAAAGCTATCTCTTTCTGACATGTTTAGATAATATAAGTTATAATACTTGATCCATTGACAGATCAAATACCAGAATGCGTCGGTTGTGTACTGAAATTCCGAGCTCTTCCTCACTGGAATCTATTGACTGTTTCTGTGCTTTAGAGAGAACGTAAGTTTGAAGCCTTAAAGGCATAGCTTCTTGCTGAAGTTTCAGGATTATGAACTAAGAACAATATTTCATTGTTTGTTGTTGAAAATGGTGATGGTGACGGTGACAGGCGACGGCGACGGATAACCCTCCTTGTAATAGTCTAAGCTCACCGCTAGTAGATATTATCCAATTTGGCCTGTTATGCTCCACCGTCAACCTCACAGTGGTAAAACGTGTTTATTAGGGAGAGGTTTCTACCCTCTTTGGGGGCCTAACGTTCTTGTTGGTAAATTGCATGGTGTCTAACTTTGATACCATTTCTTGATTTGTGCATGTCATCCTTGCGCAGGGGCCATGTTAATCTTCTCTTTATTGTTTCAATTTTATCGGATGTCTCCATTGTGAGATTCCACACTAGTTGGAGAAGGGAGCAAAACATTGTTTATTAGAGCATATGCACTTTAAAATCTTGAAGGAAAACTCGGAAGGAAAAGTCTAAAGAAGACTATATCTATTAGCGGTGAGCTTGAGCGGTTACAAATGGTATCAAAGCTAGGTACAAGACAATGTGTCAGCGAGAATGCTGGACTCCTAAGAGGTGGAGGATTGTGAGATCCCACGTAAGTTAGAGAGGATCTCTAAGTCGGTAAGAATCGAGAAACTTGATGCCTTGAATCTTACTCTCGGTGAACGGTGAACGGTGAACAGAAGTAATTGTCATTGATGGTGGAGGCTTTGACTTTTATTAGAAAATTGTGTGTTTTTGTAGACTTTTGAGCATATAGATTCAAAAGAGTTTATTATGGTTCATTCATTTAACTTTGACATGAAACTTTGGTTTTAATTCTAATGAATGCTTAGCAATAGAAGCATATTAGAACTTTCAAGAAAATATTATTAACTATAAAACAAATAATTTTAACTATTAACTCATCCTTAAAAACGTGTTTAAAATATTGTCCTCACAAAATTTACTACAAATTATACTTATAAATTTTGATATAAGGAATTGCATTTATTTCAAAATATAATTGCTTTATTTAAGGAAATAATACATAATTGAGCTGGAATCAATAATTTGAACACTTAATTTCAAAGTTGTTCATCAACTATTTTTATTTTATTTTTTAAATAAATTTCAAAATATTTGCATCTACTTTTATAAATATTTGACAAATTGAAGGCTATATTTATCTATCATTATCCCCTAAACTTTTTTAAAAACTAAGATATTAATCAAATTTTTAAATAGTTTAAGCGTATTTTTTTCATATAAAATAACGGGATTAAATTTTTAAAAGTTCAAGAGTATTTTTATAAATAAAATAATTTCCATCAAAATTAACGATATTTTTAGTTTGATGATATAATTATACATTGGAGAGTTTAAAAGTATTTTTTCAGAAATGAAAATTTTAAAAGTTTAAGGGTATTTTTGAAATAAAATATTAAACCATTTTTTTTTAAACTTTAAGGGTATAATTGATATTTTTTAAAAGTATTTTTATTATTTTCAACCCCAAATAAACTAAAATTTGTTAAAAAGTAAAAAAGAACTTATAAATAAAATAAATTTAAATGATTTATTATTCACATAATTTTCAATAATTTATTACACGTTGAATGGCTAGACTCGATAAGGTATCCTTTCTTACCTTATTAAATGACTGCTATTGAGTTGTTTGAATTATTCTATTTTTGTTAAAAAAATTAAACATATTACCATAAATATAAAATCATGTTTTAAATATTTAATCATTAATATAATTTAATTAATCGTCTATGTTTTTAGTGGCAATTGACTTTAAAATTTATGTCTAATAAATTAAATAAATCATTTTTAAAAATTAAGGTTACAAAAATTATTTTATTTCCTTTATAATAATGTTTTCAAAATCTATGAAAGTTTGAAAAAATAAAAAGTAATTTTTATAAACAATTTCAGTTTTTAAATTTGGTTAAAATTTAAATATTACTTTAAAAAATATAAAATTACTATAAATTATATTTGATTTTATACTCTAGTAATTCTTTTAAGAATTATTTTTATTGATATTTGGATAAACCTAGAGTCATGGACTACTCAACCTTGGACTCAATTTACTCAAAAATAGGGTTCGACTTCGAACTAAACTCAACCCTACTTTAAAAAAATTATTATTAAAAATAAGAACATGTGATGTTCATTATCGAAGTTATGGATGCATTATGACTTGTGATCGTTCGATATTTAAGTTTCGTTAAATTTTAGTTATTAATGTAATTTTATATTTATAAATGAAAATTTCTTTAAATAATCAAATATATATTTAAAAATAATTTAAATAATTTCAAAATCACTTTCAAACCTACATTAATTACCAAATCACTTTAAAATTCATGCATTAAATAAAAAATAAAAAAATTATTAGACCCCATATTTTAGGGTTCTTCATACAAAAATTAAAAAAATAAAAAAAATAAATTGCTTCTTAGCCTACCACTTTTTAATTTTCTATAATTTTCTCCTCAACTACACCATCAAATTTCTTTCTCTCTCTCTTCTTCCACCAACTCCCATTTGAGTGTGCATGAATACCCATCACAAAAAAACCTAATTTTTTTTTTATTTTTTAAAAATTAAATAAAATTATTAGAAATCACGACTCTTAAGTTATCCAGTTTGAACATGAGTTCTCATAACTTTGTTTTTGGAAGTATTCATTGATTATAAACTCAGGATCATGTCCTAAATTAACCAGGACTTTCATACAACAAAAATAACTAAATTACCTACCTTTTATTATTATTATTTTAATATTTAATTATAATTTACTTTAATTCCCTTATGTTATAGAAAAGTAATTAAGTCAATGTCATTTTCCCTTATTTTCCTCCACGCTACTATAACAATAATAACAATAATACTCTTTTACCTAATTTCTTATTTTAAATTTATCAATTTTTTTCCTAATTATATTAAAAAAAAACTAAATAAAAATATAGATATTAAAAAGAAAATGAAGAAATTTATTAGTAATATATTTATTAGGATGGTTAAAGAGTTTTTGTTTTGGGTAAAAAAAACAAATAAATAAATAATCATGGATGTTAGGTGAGTGGTTAAAGTGCAGCGAACACTTTCCTTATAAAATGGGACCAAAATTTCCGTGTTGTTCGCTGTATTCCAATAGAAACTTGGAGATTCTTCCTTTTCATTTTCTCTCTGTTTCACCAAACCATTTCCACTTACTCTCTCTCTCTCTCTCTCTTTACGGAACCATGCCGGTCGACGGTTCTTCAACCACCACCCCCACCGTTTGCGTCACAGGCGCAGGCGGCTTCATTGCTTCATGGATAGTTAAGCTTCTTCTCCAGAAAGGCTATATCGTAAGAGGAACCGTCAGAAATCCAGGTTTGATAATGATTTTAACCTAATTTTTATTTCCATATCGAAATCATCGAATACTGAAATGTCGATGAAATCTGCGGAAGTGATTCTCGGATGGATCTGGATTATTAGGAGTTTTTGTTTCTGTGATTTTTGAGATTTACAGAGGATCCGAAGAACGGCCATTTGAAAGAATTTGAAGGCGCGGCGGAGCGATTCAGTTTGTATAAAGCCGATCTTCTCGATTTCGAGAGCCTTAGGGCGGCGATTAACGGATGCGATGGCGTTTTCCACACGGCGTCGCCTGTAACTGACGATCCGGTGATTTGCTCTTCTCATTTTCTTTTCTCGTTCGCTTTATTTTTTCTTTTTTGTTAAGTTCCCGGGAAAATTAAAATTTGGATGAAAATGGTACGCGAGAATCGAATAATATATTGTTTCTTTTTATTGCATGCGTGTATCATATTCATTAATTCTTGGGCCCCACTTTAATTTTTAGTCCCACTGGGACCCACTAAATCCACGTCATACCATCATCACATACACGTCATGTCATACACACCATATTAGATTTGAGTAACCTAAAATTATTTTTTTTAAATTTTATTTTATTTTTTCATCCAGACGAAAAATTAAAAGTTTAAAATTATAATGTGATAAAATAATATATTCGTATTTGATATTATTTCGTAAAAAAAAAAAATGAAAAATTATATTCTTTAAATTTAAAAATTACACAATAAGGTAAAAGAAAAAGGTTTTGGATTAAAAAAAAAAGTGACACGTCACGCCGTATTATTGATTTACATGGTGAATTGAATTAAGACGCTCAAGTTTTTACTCTTTTTATTATATTTCTATGAATGTTTTGTACGTCGGTTGGTGAAGCTTTTTAATTTTTATTTTTTATTCTTGAAAATGGTATACATAATTTCATATTTCATAAGAAAATTTATGAATTTATAGTTATATTAGAAATACATACATATATATATACATACATACATACATATATACATATATATATATATATAGCTCTTTAAGGTGTTTTACTTTAAATTTTTAAAATTTTAAAATTAAATAGTTATCCATGATCTTAATTATGATTATATTCCTAACCAGTTATTTACTTCTATTCCTACAAATATTTGAATTAATAATTAAATATTAGAAATAATAAAACACGTTATTATAGTATTATTTCATAATTATTTAGTTTTTTTTTTTTTTTTTTTTTTTTTTTTTTTTTTTTTTTTTTTTTTTTTTTTTTTTTTTAAGAATTTGACAAAGTGGAGTAAACCATTGCATTTTATCATAAACGAAGTCATGATGAAATGAGACCAATTTTTTTTTAAAGCTGATTAACATTATTATTATTATAATAGAATTCTCGTAAATAAAATTTGTTAGTAGGTTCATTAAGTTTTAATTAGGCTTTGGGAAGGTAACAGAAATGGCGGTTGTGATATTGCTAAACTTTTGCAGGAGCAAATGGTGGAACCGGCGGTCAACGGCACGAAGAATGTTATAGTCGCGGCGGCTGAAGCCAATGTCCGACGCGTGGTTTTCACTTCGTCGATTGGTGCAGTCTACATGGACCCCAACCGTGGTCCAGATGAGATCGTAGACGAGTCCTGCTGGAGCGATCTAGAGTTCTGCAAGAACACGAAGGTTTAATAATTCCCTAATAATTATGTCTAATTGGACTGTTTTTGTTTTTGCCCACAAAATTTTGAGGTGAAACATGAAAATTTGGGGATTTGCAGAATTGGTATTGCTATGGAAAAGCTGTCGCAGAGCAGGCGGCATGGGAGGTTGCGAAGGAGAAGGGGGTGGACTTGGTGGTGGTGAATCCGGTTCTGGTGCTGGGCCCACTGTTGCAACCCACCATTAATGCCAGCATTATCCACATACTCAAGTACTTGACTGGATCAGCTAAGACGTACGCCAATTCCGTTCAGGCGTACGTCCACGTGAAGGATGTTGCTCTTGCACATATCCTCGTGTACGAGAATCCCTCCGCCTCCGGCCGGTACCTCTGCGCCGAGAGTGTTCTCCACAGAGGGGAGATCGTTGAGATTCTTGCCAAATTGTTCCCGGAATACCCTATTCCCACCAAGTAAGTTCTTTTCCTTCTAACCTTTCCAATCTTTATTAACCTAATTAGTTCTAAATTCAATATATGTTCCGTTGTGATCCCACGACTGTTGAGAGGAGAACGAATCATTCGAATCATTCTTTATAAGTACGTGAACATCTTTTCCTAACAAATGTATTTTAAAAATTTCAAGAGAAAATTCGAAAAGAAAAATACAAAGAAGACATATCTACTGAGACTAAGTCGTTAAAGTCAAAATTAATCCCCCAATAAATTTCAAATAATAAATTGTTTGGATCTCGTGTAAGTGTTGAAAGGAATTAAGTGAGGTGTAGTAGGTATACCAACTCTGAATAGTGGATCAATGATAGAAGCAGCTAACCTTAACTTGTAAAAGAATGGATGGACCAGAAGTGGCCATTTACCAACCGAGAATATTGAAATATGCTTGTGGAGCTGAAAGCTTCTCACCAAACCCCATCCTTTGTGATCCTTATCACTTATTGTTGGAATGACCCAATTATTCATCATGGTCCACCAGATGAACACTTGAAATTAGTCCAGTCACTCGTAGGAGCTTTTTTTATTTATTTATGGACTACTCTTTCTCTCTGCCTCTCTAAGGAGACCAGTAAATATTGTCTTATTTGACTTGTTAGTCTCATGATTTTAAAATGCTTCTAATAAGGAGAGGTTTACACACCCTTTATAACGAATGCTTTGTTCCCATTTCCAACTGATATGAGATCTGACACTCACAGGATTTGTGCCACCATTCAAACACTTTCATCAAATTTAATTCCAAGAACGTTCTTAAGTGAAGTGAGTGATTTGAAATGGTTAAAATCGATGAGTTAACAAGTATATTTATGATTTAGGTGCTCAGATGAAGTGAACCCAAGGAAGAAGGCATACAAATTCTCCAACCAGAAGCTGAAGGACTTAGGATTGGAGTTCACTCCAGTGAAGCAGTGTCTATATGAAACCGTTAAGAACTTACAGGAGAAAGGTCATCTCCCGATCCCCACTTCTACCCAACCAGCAGACTCCATTCGAATTCAATCTTAAATCATAGTGTTATAGAACTGAGTGCATTGGTTTGGGTACTAAATGCATGGCAATGTATAAGCTCTTTAAGCTTTGAATGTTTTCCCCACGTTGTTCCTACTTCAACAACGTGAATGCATGTAAGTTTGTCTTTAAAACTGTATGTGATTGATTTTGCAGTCATGACTTTGATATTTATTTATAAAGTAATTTTGACTGTATTATATCAAGTTTGGTGGCCTGCTCCTTTGTCCTTTTGCTGAATTAAAAAAAAAGTGTTTATATCCATGAATGTAGCTAACTTTGTTTAAACAAAATGGTTCGATAACACTTTTATCTCTTTTTAACACAAACCAAATAATATTTTCTATTGATTTATTCTCTCGATTGGACCTATTTTGTCTCTCCACCTTACTTCTCGTTCTAGCCCCATTATGTGCATGTATTCGCTTGTTATATTCGACATATTCCTTTGTCTGTGCACCTCAATCTTGAATCGATTAGTGGTCTAAAAGAGAGGTGATAATATCATCTACGTCTATACTACTTCTTATAGAGTAGATCGTGCATCCAACCAAGTCTTTGATTAGGGGAATAAGAGAATTCCGTTCTTCGAAACCTAGCTTTCTTGTCTTTGTCCTTTGGGTTCTTAGAGACTCCTCTTTATCCTATTGAGGCTTCTTTTTCTTTCTCCTTCAAGCACTTGCCACTTTATGTATTTTTTTAAAAATTTACTTAAAAAATATATAGAGAGGTTTTTAAACGTTTTAAAGTTCAGCGGGAGTGGTAGGCTTATCCAAATCCAAACCTTCCTTCCACACATTTTGAAGATCACATTGCCTTAACGTTATGGAATCTCATTCCAAACCTCCCAAAAAACTAACTCCCAAGAACCATCCATGGCTACTTCTTCTCTTCCCACCAAATCCCTCCCGCCATTTTTGCCGGCATCAAGCTTTCCACCTTCTTCTCCTTCAACCCACTTCACTAAGCCGCCATTCCTAGCCCCACCCGACATTTCTCTCTCCACCTCTTCCTCATCGCCCTCTAAACTTCATATTCCCAGTTGTGCCAAGAAGAATCCCTGGCTCGACCCCTTTGACGATGGCGATGATCCGGACATGGAATACGGCTCTCTCTTCGCCGACGGGAAGCAGGAAGAGGACCCTCGCCCACCGGACAATCCGAACAATCCGTATGGGTTCTTGAAATTTCCTCAGGGTTACATGGTGGAAATTGCATCTCTAGGTCTTAAACTCCGGGGAGATGTACGGCGGTGCTGCTGCGTGATTTCCGGCGGGGTCTATGAAAACCTCCTCTTCTTTCCGACGATTCAATTGCTCAAGGATCGGTACCCGGGTGTTCAAATCGACGTGGTGGCTTCGGCGAGGGGTAAACAGACTTATGAATTGAATAAGAATGTGCGATGGTCTAATGTCTATGATCCGGATGATTATTTTCCTGAACCGGCCGATTACACTGACATGGTTGGATTGCTCAAGGTTGGTTCGTTTTCTCGCCAATAATTGACCTAGAAATTGATAGAACAATATTGCTAGTGATTCTACCATGTATGAAAGACTTCAAATATTGGATCCCACTTCGATTTAGAACTTTGATGATACTTAGAAACTTTGATAGCCATATTAGTGATTTGTTTGGAGATCTCTTAGAAAAATATTTAGCGCCCATTTGAAACAATGGTTTCATTGTTGTTGCAGGGTAGATACTATGATATGGTGTTGTCAACAAAGCTAGCAGGGATTGGGCATGCGGCGTTTTTGTTCATGACAACAGCCAGAGACAGAGTTAGCTACATTTACCCTGATGTGAATGCCGCTGGAGCAGGGCTTTTCTTGTCTCAAACATTTAAACCAGAGAGCTCTAATCTTTCCGAGGGAGGGTTCAACATGTGAGAATATTTTATACTTTTGTTTTGGTTCTGTACAAAAGTTTTCATTTAAGCTTTTGAGTTTAGTATTAGTTTAACATGGCAATCGAGTGGGAGCTGCTTTTTGTAAAGGTCCAAGTTCACCGCTAGTAGATATTATCCTATTTGAGTTTTTCCTTAAAGTTTTTAAAACGCATCTGTTAGGGAGAGTTTTCCACACCCTTATAAAGAATGTTTAGTTCTCCTCCCCAACTGATGTGGGCTCTAACAATCCACCTCCTTCGGGGCCCAGCGTCCTCGTTGGCACTCGTTCCCTTCTCCAATCGATGTGGGACCCCCCAATCCACACCCCCTTCGGGGCTCAGTGTCCTTGCTCGCACACCGCCTCGTGTCCACCCCCTTTCAAGACTCAGCCCACCGCTAGTAGATATTACCTCTTTGGGTTTTCCCTTTCGGGTCTCCCCTCAAAATTCTTAAAACACATCTACTAGGGAGAGGTTTCCACACTATCAAGAATGTTTCATTCTCCTCCCCAATCGATGTGGGATCTCACACTTTATCTGTTCAAGTTCTTAGCAATCTCGTTTTCTTTTCAGTTTATATTGATAGTCACTAGTTGCGATCTTGTGCTTATTTCCTAAGCCACAAGGAGGATGTCAAGAATGTATATAAAAGATTACATACTCCATAACTCATCAATATAAGTTTTTACTGTTTAGTATTAGTTTGATATAGGGTGCAGTTTTTGCCACTAAATGAGTGAAGTATGGCTTTTATCAGAGGACACTAAGTAATTTCTATGTGAAAACTGAAGAACAAAATAGAAATAGCAAGCTCAAACTTCTACTTTTTTGATGCCTTGAAGGCTGATTTTCATGATTTAGGTATCATCAAATGGCTGATTGGTTAGGGAGACCATTTCGTAGCGTTCCCAGGCATCCCGTTCCTCCGCTCAAAGTTTCGATTTCAAGAAAATTGAAGGAAATCGTAAAGGAAAAGTATAATCAAGCAGGTGTTGAGAAAGGAAAATATATTGTGATTCATGGAATAGAATCAGATTCAAAAGCCTCAATGCAGTCCAAAGGTGATACTGATAGCTTGCTACCTATTCAAGCCTGGGCTGAAATAGCCAATGCTATAAGGTAGGTATTATGTCAATATCTTGCTTTATCAGAAAAAATTGATGAACTATAGGCAAAATTAACATAATGCAGCTTTTTCTTTCACTATTTTCTGATGATAACACTTATTGAATCTGAACACAGGGGATTCAAGCCAGTTTTTGTCATTCCGCACGAAAAAGAAAGGGAAAACGTCGAGGAGGAGGTCGGAGATAACGCAAGCATCGTATTTATAACTACCCCAGGACAGGTACTCATAACGATCCATCTTTCTCTTTGAGTATAGAAGAGTAAACTGTGAAAAGGATGAAAAAACAGTTTTAAGTAAGAAAGCAAGGAAGAATGAAGAAAGGGAAATTTATGATTTGAAGAAGTTAAAAAATGTGAGATCTCAAATTGGTTGGAGAAGGGAACGAAGCATTCCTTGTAAGGGTGTGGAAACCTCTCCCTAGTAGACGTATTTTAAAACTGTGAGGTAAAGCCCGAAGAGGATAATATGTACTAGCGGTAGGCTTGAGCTGTTACAAATGATATCAGAGTCAAGCATCAAACGGTGTACCAATGAGGACGTTGGGCCCCGCAAGGAGTGGATTGTGAGATTCCACATTGGTTGGGGAGGGGAATGAAGCATTCTTTATAAGGGTGTGGAAACCTCTCCCTAGTAGACGTGTTTTAAAAATCTTTGAGGGAAAGCTTAAAAAGGATAATATATGTTAGCGGTGAGCTTGGGCTATTACAAATGGTATCAAAGCTAGGCACCAAACGGTGTGTCAGCAAGGATGCTAGGCTCTGCTGGGGTGGATTGTGAGATCTCACATTGGTTGGAGAAGGGAACGAAACATTTCTTGTAAAGGTGTGGAAACCTCTCTATAGTAGACATGTTTTAAAACTTTGAGAGAAAGCATAAAAAATGATAATATTTGCTAGGGGTGGGCTTTGGGCTATTACAAATGGTATCAGAGCCAAGCACCGAACGGTGTGCCATCGAGGATGCTGGGCCCCGTAGGGAGTGGATTGTGAGATCCCATATTGGTTGGAGAAGCATTTCTTATAAGAGTATGGAAACTTCTCTCTAGTAGACGCGTTTTAAAACCTTGAGAGAAAGCCCAAGATAATATCTGTTAGTTGTGAGCTCAGGCGGTTACAATAAAAGTGAAGTACTTAAAAGCACACCATTCTTAACAGCTAGCTGCTCTCATTAACGACTCGGCCGGTGTAATAGCTACCAACACAGCTGCAATCCAACTCGCCATTGCTCGCGAAAAACCAAGGTCTTGATCTGTTTCTCCTTCACAGAAACTCAGTAGTTTGCTTATTGATCTTAAAATCTCCCATTTGCTAGTAGTATGAAAAGAACAGTGCTTGATATGCATCTATAATGCCAACGTGTTTGCAGCATTGCATTGTTTTGCTCTGAAGAGAAAGCAAAACTATTCGTTCCGGATGCCGAAGCAAAGAGATGCATCGCAGTTTCATCAGCAACGGGACGACTAATCGATATCGATATGGGCACAGTTAAAAGGGCGATACAGAGTTTTGAAGTGCCTCTAGCTCTTGCTTTTCAGTGACATTACAGATTTTCTTACCCAATTTGTGCTTATCATCACGATAGTTACCATCAGTTGTATATCAACGCATTGGCAATGAAGAGGGTAATTGTATATGTTCTGTTTAGTGTGAAAAATCTGAAGTTCGTTCGTTCTGAAGTCGTCTCGATGTTTGGACCGAACTTTGACCTGTTAGAGGTTCAGAGTTACAAACCCGAAGTTCATCATTTTCAAAGTTTATCTCGATGTTTGTGCAAAAGTTCGTCAAAACTTGGACCCGTTAGAGCTTTGGAGAGTTAGAGACCTGAAGTTCATTACCTTTTCAGAGTTCTTCTCCACCTTTGGAGAGAAGTTTGTCTAAACTCTGACTCGAGCGAGTGGAAGTTTAATTAAGTATCAAATATATATTTTCTTTACCAAAATTAATCTTCGTTAATTGAGACTAATGGTAGGAATACTCATTGAAAAATTAAAAAATATGCAATATTTTTTTAATTAACATATTATGAATGAAATAAATGAAAAGACTTGTCTTCTTAAATATGTTTTTTTTAAAAATAGTTATAAATAGAAGTATCTCGATTGTAATTTCGAGCAGTTGAAGGGGCTAAAATGCAAATATTCGAGAAGAGAGAGGACCCGCGCGAAAATAGCGGAGTGGCATCTTCAAGTTCGTTATCGTCTCATCCAAACGACCGGCTGTCTTTTCCCCGGCGACTGAACTTCCACTGAGAACTTCAGAGAGCTTAGCCATGGCGATCATGGCGTTTCTCTCTTCTCCACCGCACATTCCCTCTCTGGTTCGACCATTTCACAGCAACTTTCTCTTCTCTCCTATTTCCTCTTCCTTCAGTGCTCTACGGCGTTCTACTCGATCCAGTTTATTTGGCGCTCAAACTTTAGCGACTTCGGGATTTTGCTTTAGGATACACTGCAGTGACAAAGAACGAGCTGCACCGGTTACTCGGAGCTCCGATCCTAAGGCTGGAGTTCCGATTTATAAGCCCAAAACCTACGAGGTGCTAGTCTCCGATGCTGCGAATTCTCTTGCTTATGCTCTGGAGGATGGAAAGATGCGCTTGGAGATTGATTTCCCGTAATCTTTCTTTTTCTCTATGAATATGGACGATCTTACTTCTCAATCCTATTAGGTTCTTTCTTTTGAGAAATACTGCTCATTCCCGCAATTTGTTACTTAGCAAGTTAGCATTAGAGTTACTACTACCATGCTATACGTTTGTTTCGTTTTGATCCCCCTGCCTCGAGTATCGTAATCGGTTGTGCGTTTGTTAGGATCATCTGGTGAGTTTTATTTCGGAGCTTTCTTCTTACAGATGACTCAATTTAAAATTTGAAAATTGAGACTCTAACCGCAGTCCGTTTAAGCAAATTATTTCTGAATGTCTTTGCAACTTACGAGAATTAACAATATCCTATTATTTCTGAATGCTTTATTGTCCGAATATTGTTCATTCTAGAATTTATAAGTTGTTCTTCTGAGTATAATTCTCATTATTTTCTAACCCTCGTTTTGTTTTGTTTTTTGTTTTTACCATTTTGGTGGGATTTCCTATATTCAGACCCCTGCCTAGCAACATTTCCTCGTATAAGGTATCTTTCTCCAATTTGTTCTTGATGGAATCTGCTGCTCAGAACATTATGTTTTCTCATTTATTAAAATATTCCCCATATAGGCCGTTTGTTTTCTCTTCTATTCTGGTTTTGCACCTCAATGTGTTATATGCAGATGTTCATATGAATATTCTGGTTCGTTGACATGACATTTTTTCCCCTTTTTTCTTGAGGATATTTCCAAACATGTAAAGGGGTCCTTGGATGATTTCATTGATGCAAATAATCAACTTGCAATGAACCTCAAAGAAAAGAGGGGAAAGTAGACCTGCTTACATTTAGTAGTTCATCGTGAATCTTCATTCAATGTCCCTTGCAGCTCATATTAACTCTTGATTATGAATGTACTCAGTCAACATAGGGTCGTTTTATAATTTAACTCGGTTACATTTGTATATTTTTCTTGTATGAACAAGCCGTGAATATAGAATATAGTATTCCTTGCAATGAAACCAGTTGAAAAGTGTGAATAGTAAATTACATGGGTTATATTCAGAATTATGTTAGTTTAGGTTCTTTTCAATATTCTGGTTTGTTGATAGCACATGTTCATTTGATTTGAGAAAACTTTTAAATATGTCAAGGGATCTTCAGATGAGTTCATTGATGCAAATATTCAACTTGCCCTGGCTGTTGCAAGGAATCTTCAAGAAAAGAGAGGAACTAGATCTTGCATTGTAAGCAACTATATATACTCACATATATATTGCAAACCTCTTCTGAAGTTAGTGCAGCTGTTAAGTACTCGTGTTGTAACTTTAGGTATTTCCAGATAAGCCAGACAAAGGCAGAGCTTCACAGTTGTTCAAAACAGCTCTCGACTCGGTAACAAGTTAACTCTTTAAAGAAAAAAATTCTTTTGTCCGATGTAGATCGTACCTGCTTGACATTTTTTTGCCTTGTTGGTAAGAAGTAAATATTTTGTTTACAATAGAAATGCAGAGCTAACCGAGAGCATGCTTGTCCACACAATATAAATCCTGGTCTCCGTTTTATGTGCTTTTTTCATTTGTTTTTCCCTTTTATCTCTCAGATTGATGGAATAACCATAAGTTCCCTAGATGATATTCCTGCTGGACCTGTCACATCTTTTTTCAGATCTATTAGAAACACCCTTGATTTTGATTTTGAAGACGAGAATGCAGGTTGGTTATATACGCATGGATCTCAGAGGATGTTTCACATTCTTGTCCTCTTTTTATTCTGTGCACGTCATGGCCATGTATTTCGCTATTAAATGCATTTTGCAAGTATATGACCCTAGTCATTGAGGCCAGGCTGCAACTTACACTCATAGACTGTAATAGCCTTGATTTAGAAAAGGTAAATGGCAGGAAAAAAAAAAAGAAAATAGAAAAGAGAAAATAGAAAAGAAAAGAAAAGAAATACCATATGAAAAGTGATTGAACTTAATTCTCATGTGAGAAAGCTATTTATAACCTTAAAAACTGCCTCTTCCTATTCATTCCCTTCACTTTTGTGGATATAAACATTTTTCTTCTTCAGGGCCATACTATGTTATATTTACAATCATTTATCTTTTTATCTGCTTCCTTCCAGGACCAAACATTCTCATTTAATGATTACTCAATCTTCACAATCCATCTGAATTGCAGGTCGTTGGACTTCTAGTGAACCTCCATCTCTGTACATATTTATTAATTGCAGCACGCGTGAACTTGCAATGATAGAGAAGTATGTGGTATGATGTCTATGCTAATTGCAAGATAGCAATTTACTTGGTTGAACAAATGGCATATCTTGATTAACTTCTGATTTGAAGTTATCATGATTTCTTCTCGAGTTAGTTCAATTATGCTAATTTCTGTTTTTTTTTTCAATACAAATTATAAAAAATTTCTTAAAAAGTATCCCTCCCATTGATTATGATTCAGCTGTCTACTGAATACTAATATTTTAGAGGACGTGTATGCTCTTGTTTATTTGGTATTACCATTGTAGAACTGCTATCATGCCATCTTTGATGGTGGATTCGATGGTTATATAATACTTCTTCCATATTGAGGATATGAAAGTACTGAATAAGACCTGTTTATGACATTCTAAGTGACATTTTTACACACTAAGTTATTTTTTTAGTTAACTTCATTTGGCTTGGTCTAATTAGTTTTTGCCTGTACACCCGGCGACTCATTTTGGAATTTGCAGGAAACTTTTGCTTCGTCAATCCCCACCCTGATGTTTAATCTAGAACTTGAAACCTTGCGGTAATGGTTCTCCTCCTCATCCATCTTCGATAGATATTGGGTTCATATGCAACTAGTGATCATAAGTTTGAAAACTTACAGTGCAGACTTGGGCTTACTGGGATTCCCCCCCAAAGATTTGCATTATCGATTTCTCTCTCAGTTTATCCCGGTGTTTTACATTAGAATCAGGGAGTATTCTAAGGTCTTGGATCTTATCTTGAAACCCTTTTAATTTTATATTATTATTATTATTATTTTGTGACTAAATTCTCTACTCTTGGTTCTCTTTGGGGGTATCAAGACAGTACCAATAGCACCTTATATTGTTAATTACAGTGGAGCATTGTTTCGTCAATACCCTGGTGCGTATACTGTTTCATTGAACATCCCGTTGGATAATTTTATTTTTGGGTTCTCTTGATATTTTTATCAGTCCAAATTGGTTACCAACCTCTAAGTTTCGCTTGCTAAGCTTATAGATTCATCTGCTTTTACATCAATATTTTGTCATTGAAATAGGTCATGTGATCTTTATATCCACATCTATTCATCCTTCATAATACTTTCAGGACCTTGGCAAGTGATGTTAAAACAAACAGATAATTCTTATGCTTGCGTCGCAGAGAGTGAGACGAGGTTCACCCTTGGTGAAGTATGTAACATTGAAGTACTTTTAGCACTTAATCCTTTGTCTGGTGTTTCTGGACTAACTGTTGCTTGTAATTTAGACCAAAGATGAACTACTAAGGGTCCTTGGACTACAGGAAGAACAAGGAAGCTCATTAGAATTTCTTCGCAGGGGCTACAAGGTTTCCTCTTCCTTCTGTGTTATCTCTTGTTTGCTCCACCAATTTACCAGCAGTTTGAAGAGAAATCCGTGTTTGCACTTTTTAGGAAATGATTTTATGAAGAACTTAAAATTTTAGGTCGAGTTGAACTAAGCTCATGTCGACACATCTAATTATATTAGATAAAGTGTGGGAGAGAGATAGGATGTGTAACTCATGAAATCATAGTCTACTTTTGCAGGCTGCCACTTGGTGGGAAGAAGATAATGACTCTGAAGTATCTTCGGCATGGCGTAGTTGAGCAGCTCGAGCGTCGATTATTCCTCAGAGACAATATTGATGATCTCGAACATGGAGATGTTAGGATGACCCTATTTCTAAAAGACTCTCATGGCTTTAGAAGACTCCCACAAACTTGAATCAAGCTCATTCACCTCTAAAATTCAAGGTAAAGTAATCTTGTACATTTTATTAATCATGATGAATTAAATTAGACCTCTTACATGGTTTGATATTGTCAAGAATGGTTCATTTTTTTGCCAATGACTAATAATAATAATAATAATAATAATAATAATAATAAACCAATATAAATAAATAAAATACATTATCAATTAAGTAATACAGTTACAAGCAACCAATATAACTATATTAAATATGTAATTAACAAATAAAGCAGACTTAGAAATAAATTAAAACAAGAAGAAAAGGACACAGATATTGAGAATACAATAATATTTAGTTTTTAATCAATTTAAATTAGTTTTTAATTAATTTATTTCAATCAATTAACGACAATAATAATGTATTTAATTCATCCTCTCAAAGTCAACCAATTAATTAATTTTTAATAATGATTGATGTGCAATTACATCAGCATATAAAAATATTAATTATCTAATTACTTATAACTTTGACTTGGTCAACCTTCAAATTCAGTCATCAAAAATCTAATTTCTTTTTTTTTTTTCACTAACTTTAATTTAACAAGGCCGAGATATTAGCTATATATATATATATAATATGGTCTATTATTACATATTATTTCCGGACAAATAATTGAAATATGGAATAATAAAAAGTTATGTACTAAAATAAAATGATGATGGTTGGTCCAATTGCACAAACATGTCACATTTTATTTGGTCCCCATCAATTCATATCCTTCTTTACTTGATTTGTCACATTTTCCATAGATTATTTTACGTGTTTTTATGTTTAATGATGGAAAAATATATATTTATATTCCCACAACCTTAAAAACAACAAAAATATAAACATCTCACACATTTCAAACTATTCATATCTTTTGCGTGATCTAAATCCAAATATTAACGACAGTCGAATGTGTATATGATTTTTTAAATAATTTAATTTTTTAAACGGCTATTATTAAAACTATTGATAATTTAAATTTATAATTTAGATAATTTTTAGAAGAATAAAGGAATAAATAATATAGATAAATATAGATACATAAATGGATGAGAATGGGAGGTAACACGTTATTTCTGAGTTGGGTGAGCAGTGGTAGAGCAGCAGAAGCATGTTCTATTGTTCACTACCAACAAAGCACAAATCACAGGGAACAGACCATTTCAATTTAATATATATTTTTTTATTTTTTTTATTTTTTTTATTTAAAAAGACCCTAACTTATTGCCTAAATTATGGAATATTCCTTGTGGTCTCCACCAATCACTCCCTTCTTCTTCCTTACTTTATTCCTTCGGTTCATTTTAACCTTAAACTATTCAGATCTAAATACCCCATATAAGTCGTCAAATTAATACTCTCGTACGTTTAGGTTTATATATTTTATATTAAACTCAGTCTAAAAAGACCTTATATCAATGAACATAATATTATTTGATTATAAATCCACGATCATTATCTGAATTAGCTGATGTGGGACTTTCATCCAACACAATCCAACCACAAACTTTTTGGGTTAGATGGGTTCAGTTATTCCGATTGTTTATTCAAATTTTTGTTTTTAATAAAATTAAAATGTTAATTCGTAAAACATCTATACCAACTCAATTTAAATAAGTTCATAATTCAACCCGAGTAGTACGTCCTTAGTTAGATTGATCGAGTTTTTATAAATATTTAAAAAAATTATGTTAAAATTTCAAATTCATTAAAGCTTTCCCATATGATTAAATGTCAACTTTTGATGGTTGAATTTGGTTGCTTTATAACCATATGATTAAAGAATTGTAAGTGGTTAAAACTTAAAAAGGAGCACCACGCGCCATCTCTCTTTTTCTTTTATATTTGACCCAAAAAGGTATATATATATATATATATATATAAGTATAAAATCATTTGTAAAGTTTAACAAAAATTTACTTTACAACTTTTTAAATTTATATATTTAATTTTTTTAACTTAAATTTAAAATAAAATTTCAAAATATTAAATCATAAATAAACACTAATAATTAAAAACTAAAACTTTTATTTAGATTAAAAATATATTTTTTAATATATATATATATATATATATATATTAAAGATATTAATTTTTTTTTTTTTGGTTTAATGATAATAAATTTTAGACATTAAATTATTATAAAATGACTTTATAAATATTAAATTCTTGATAGCTAAAGGGGGAATGCCTTTCCTCTAATGGCGGCTTTGCATGTGACATAATGAAGGGATAATAATAATAATAATAATAATAAAAACTTTATTGGATTGAAGCCTACTATATAGTTTATATAGCCCTAAACTTTCAAGATAATTAATATGTGGATTTTATTGCAAATTTAATCATTAATATATTATTATTATTTTACCTAAAGGCCCTTCAAAATTTTTACCTTTGCTTCTTCAACCCTTTCTCAATATTGAAAAAAGGCAAAGGTAAAGAAAAGTTTCACCTTTTAAGTCACCTCTTCCGACGCCGAAAAAATTATCGGGTGAGAGTTTCAATTGACAACGTAATACAACGATCGAGAAGAGAAATCCTTGTTTTAACACTGTAGAAATAACAATTAGAGAGGTTATCGATGTTGGGTTACAAGTCGTCAAGAGATTGTGTGTGTAGCCATTGGTGATCGTTTTGAGTTAATATTTCCCGACGTCTAATTAGAAGTGACGAGAGAAAGGACATGGTTTGAGTTGTTGAAATAATTCATTCAAATTTTTGTCCTTTTCTATTTATTTATTTTTAAACATTTAATTAAGATATTAATATATATTTTAAAAAATTACTCTCAAAATAGATGAAAAGATTCTAGACGAAAATATATAATAAAAAAATAATAATTATGAAATTAAAGGAAACTATAATATATATATAATATATATATATTTATTTATTTATTTATAATGGTATGGAAAATTATATTAATTTAAATTAGTAATAAATTTGAGTCGAATCGAATTCATATATTTAAACCAAATTTAATTTTTAGGATTTTTTTTTATTTTTTTTTTCTGACCCAACCAATCCCTTTTGTTTCCCTTTAATTATTAAAATGTACAATTGCCAAAGCTTTTAGGCATGTGAATGCCAAAGTAAAAATAATAAAAATAAATATAAAAAGGCACCAAGGAATCCAAGGCCCATCAATTTTGCATTCAATTTATTTTAACATTTAGGGTTTTTTAAAAATCTTTCACACATCTCATATATTTCTTCATTTATTTAAGTATATTATGGGTTATATGTCCGTGTTAATTCTATGTATAAAATATAAAAAACCCTACAAGATATTGTCTGTTTTGCCTCGTTAGGTATCATTGTCAATCTCATAGTTTTAAAATGTATACTAAGAAAGGTTTTCACACTTCTCGAATCGATGTGATACCACTTTTCATCATCACACTTTTTAGTCAGTAATTGTATTCTGACCTAGCGAACATGTCAGCCGTGTAAAATATATAGGCAAACAAATTAAAAAAAAAATATAAGCTTTTGATTTAATGTAGAATTAAAGGTATATTGAAAGGGTAGAAGAAAGGTGTGGAAGGCAACGCGATGATGGGCGCGTAAGACAAAGTTTGTGTTTATAAAGACTTATCTTCATCGTCTTCTCCACTGTAATCCATATATTCCTCTGTTCTTCCCTCCATTTTCACTATCATCATTATTCTTCCTTTTTCAATTATGAAATGTCTCTACATTTTTCCCTGCAAATATTTCAAACAAATTCTCTCTTTAGTCAAAAGCTCCTTGGGACCCTCCACCATCACTCTTCATTTCCTAATCACGGATTCATCCCATTATTATAATCCCACTACCCACCACAACAAATCCCTCTCCCCCCTTTCTTCATCACTTCTTCATCAATTCTTCATCAATTCTTCATCACCCCTCAATCAGAAACCCGATTTTTCGTTACAAATTGAACCGGATCCATGAAATGATGCTTGTAATCCAGTTTTCTTGCAGACCCAGTTGCTGATTTCTCTACAAAATGCCCTCTAGACCCTTTGCTTCCAGTCCCGCCGCCGCCGTCGCCGGAGATTCGCCGCCGGGTTTCTTCTCGAGAACGAAGATCTTGTTCTTGGCTCTCACCATCTCTGCCTCCGTCGTCATTTTCTTCTCTGTTCTCTATTTCCTCTACCATCTCTGGCATTCCTTTGAGAACAGAGCCAAAACCATTCCCTTCGATTCCAGCGCTCCTCTTAAACTTCAGCGATTCTCTTACAGAGAGCTCAAAAGGGCCACAAACCATTTCGATTCCGCTAACATAATCGGAAAAGGCGGCTCCGGAACTGTCTTTAAAGGGGTTTTGAGAGATGGGAAATTGATAGCTATTAAGCGATTGGACTCTGTTTCTCTTGAAACAGAGAGGGAGTTTCAGAATGAGCTGCAGATTCTTGGTGGGTTAAGATCCCCTTTCTTGGTGACCCTTTTGGGATACTGCGTTGAAAAGAACAAACGTGTGCTTGTTTATGAGTATATGCCTAATAGAAGCCTCCAGGAGTCGCTTTTCTCAGATGGGTTAAGCGGGTTATGCTGGGAAACAAGATTCGACATCGTTTTAGACATTGCTAGAGCTTTGGAATTTCTCCATCTTGGCTGTGATCCACCGGTGATTCATGGGGATATCAAGCCCAGCAATGTGCTTCTTGATATGGAGCAACGAGCCAAGATTTCAGACTTTGGGTTGTCAAGAATCAAAGTTGAAGGAGAATTTGGCGTTGATTTGTTCAGTCAAGAACTGGGTCGGAGTCAAGAGCTGTGGAAGAGCCAAGATTATACTGAAACTCCGGCCATTGGTACTCCGGTGGAGAGCAGCAACACGGAGGTAGATTTTGCTCTTGCTTTGCAGGCTTCTTCTTCTTCCAAGAACAGTAGGACATCTTATAATGTTAAGGGATTGAATGTGAATTCTTTGAGTTATAATGCCAATATTTCAAGTGAGGGAGATGGGAAAGGGAAGGAGGTATCAAGTTTAGATGTTAATGGTGATGATTGGAGTCATCGTTTTGTGCCTTATGATTCTGCTGCTACTGCTGCTGCTGCTGATGATGATG